AAAGAATCCATCATGCAATTTTCAAATCCTTTGCATTTTCCAATCTAGAAGGTAATCAAATTGAATTCGAAGGTGGGTTTTTGAATTTGATACATGGGTTTCGAATTTTGATTGCTGATCTCTGTTCTTCATGGTGACCCATTCCCCTTGCTTCGTCTACTCTCTTCACCACCACAAACCACCCGATCACCATCAACCCTAAACTTTAGATCATGGAGAACGAGAGCTAAAGTTCAAGAAGCATGAGGAAGGGAACCAAGGGAATCAGAGAAGAGATTGAAAGACAAAAAACAACAGGTCATTAAAGAGCGACCAGTGATTAGAACTGAAGCCATTGGGTGTGAGGTTAGAGTAGAGATCAGAAGGATGAGAAAACTATTTTCTCCCTGCCATTTCTGAAGGATGAGATTGGTTCTTATCCCTTGAACTGCAGGATCAGAAGTTTACAACATACGCCTGAAAAGGTATGCACATATTAGTCCTTTCAATTCCTCTTTATTTCCCCTTTCATTGAAAATACTAATTAAAGGTCCGTTCATGGCTTTGTCTAACCAAAATTGAAATTTTAGCTGCCTAAGATGCTTATGAAAAGAGTCCCATGTACATACGCTAGAAAAGCCTATAGCAAGCATAGTAAATTAAGCGACTTTAACATGTTTCTTTCAATTTTAGATATATTTGATGCATGGTGGATGATGATTTTTTTGTTGGTTTGTCTTGGTGTTATGGTTATTTTGATTTTGGAAGCTTGAATAAAAAACGCTTATAATTTGGAGTGTGAGAAAAATTTGAAGTAAAAGAAGGATCCAAAATTATGCATCTAAAATGGATTACAGAATTACTGTTGCAGTGTTATATATATCTTAGATTGATGGTTCTGTGTTTTTTTTTTTCTTTTTATATATACACTTTTTTGACATGAATGCTATTGGGATTCACAGAATTTAAAGCCTGTAAGTTTATTTTTTTATTTAATTCAAAAATTAATTTTGTAGATACATGAATCTGAAAGGATTACTTCCATTACTCCATACTTTATAATACAAAGGTGGAAATGCAAAGTTTAACTTAGAGGATTGTCCAAATGATGAAGAATGAAAATTTGTTTCCCTCAGAAGGTCAACTTATCATCCTCTCTCAAGTAAGGGATTCTTGGTATTTGGAATTTTTAGGGTTGCAATGGGATCTATTTGGCTAAACTTTTAGTCATAATTTTGATTTTCTAAAGTAGAAGATCTCAAAGGATGTTAGAGACTAATAACCATAGATGCTTTTCTGATTTTTATAGTTTGAGAATGAGTATGGGCCAAAGAGTACATCACGTTCTGGTCATGCATAATTTATTGGGCAACAAAAATGGTTGTGGAACTAGATATTGCAGTCTCGTGGGTGATGTGCAGAGAAGATGACGTCGTAGGTCCTGTGGTGGGCTATCTTTCTTATTCATTCTTCTTGATAGAGTTGTCTTCATTTATCATTTATTTTAAACTAAATTATCTTGTGTTTGTTGAATTCTGATGTTGTCTCAAGCAAAGATGAAGTGCTTAAGCTGAAGGATTAATCAGCAATCTACTATGAGTGTAAGAGATGATGGTTTTGAGTTTCTCATTTAAAATAGTTGTAAGAAGTCTACCTAAGCTTTTAAAAGACAGGGAGACGCCCAGAGCTTACCATGTCAGCTTTTTTTTGGATTATGCTCATTGGCTTACTTGATTTGAACATTTCATGAAGCAGTAGTAATTGGGGAAAAGAGCATAATAGAATTCTATTTATATTTGTGCTTTTATTGCAGTTCATTTTAGCTAATATTTGTTTGTAATTGAAGGATGTAACTGTTAGTGCTTTCTAGCAATTGAAGTCATGGCTTAATTGGAAAAAACATTTTCCAAGCTTATAGATTGGCCAAAAAAATTTCCCAAACTAATGTCAGTGAGTCTTCTAATCATAATTTTTCTACTATAACTGACAGTTTCTTTTTCATTCTATTTCTAAATACAAACTCTATAATTGTTGCAGGAATAAGGGATAGATAGACTCGAAGACCAAAAAAATTAAAAGGATAGATAGACTGGAAGGGGAGTAGCAACTATAGAAGAAACAATTGAACAGCGTAATGAGGTACGATAAAAGATGTTTTAATAACAATGACAGTTTTTTATGAAAGTATTGTCTCAATACTTTCATATTTTAAAGAGTTTGATAGCAAATGTTTATAACAGAAAGTGAAAACACAACATTAGGAACTCTATGCAAAAGGAACTGCTACAAAGGGAATTGAGTAATAAATTTAAATTAATAATTAATAGTCTTTTGTTTTTCCTTTTTACATTTTTTCACTCTTTTATGAGAGAGAAAAGGGAGAGGGTGAGGAATGATATTCAGATTTGATCTACTTGCCTCATGTAAATAGCCATGAATACTGATATGATAGAGAATATTTCCTTAAGTTTTCCATTTTCTGTTGAATACATTGTCTCTATGGCCTGGTAAGCATGTTTCTACAATGTTTTAGCTGACTTTGCTTCATATCTGCTCATCAATCATTGTCCTACTAACAACAATTGATTTTGGCCTGCAGGATGCTAACCTTATAATGCTTGCATTAGCACTACATGAAGTACATTTTTCAATTCTAATGGAGGTAAATATGAGAAGACCTTTAATCCATTATTTCTTTCTTTTTTTTTTTTTTTTTTTTTTTTTTGGATTCTTACTCTTCATTTCTGGAGCAATGAAATTATATTATTAATTTCATTGTTATTAGGATGTTCTGACCCCAGAGCACCAGCCTACCAATCAGGCCCAACATTTTA